ACCAGTGCCGAGTACAGGGGCAGGATCACTTCCCTGCTCCTGCTGGTCACACTATTCTTGATACACGCCAGTATCCCATTGGCCTTTTTGGCCACCTGGGCACACTGCTGGCTCATATCAAGCCGGTAGTCAACCAACACCCCCAGGTCCTTCTCCGCCAGGCAGCTCTCCAGCCACTCTTCCCCAAGCCTATAGCGATGCTTGGGGTTTTTATACCCCAAGTGAAGGACTCTGCACTTGGCCTTATTAAAGCTTATGCCATTGGCCTCAGCCCAACGATCCAGCCTGTTCAAATCCCTCCGAAGGGCCTCCCTACCCTCAAGCAGATCGACACAGCCTCCCAGCTTGGTGTCGTCCGCAAATTTACTGAGGGTACATTCAATCCCCTCATCCAGGTTATTGATAAAGATGTTAAACAGAACTGGACCCAGCACTGAGCCCTGGGGAACCCCACTGGTGACCGGCCTCCAGCCGGATTTAGCCCCATTTACCACCACTCTTTGGGCCCGGCCATCCAGCCAGTTTTTAACCCAAGGAGCGTGTGCCTATCCAGGCCAGCAGTTACCAGTTTCGCAACCAAGGTTTGCTTCAAAAGTGCCCTCCTGAGCCAAACTAAAGCACCAACGTATCCTCTGAATAGCAGTTGTCTACAGGCTTGGCTAAACTGAACCCTTGGATGTGAATGTCCAAACTTTGGAAATGTTTGGTCCTAGATTCCAACTTTGTAACTCAGACACATTTTTAGTAATACCATAATTAATCTCTTTGGTTCCATTCAGCTTCTCTTGGTTATTCCAGTCCTTTTACAAGTGGTCCAATAAAGACTCTTACTTCTCTTTTGATAGCATCTCAGTAAAAGGAATGTGAACATAAGAAGCCACATGAAATTAATAATCAGATATCTTAATCCTCTCTTGAAAAGCTACTGAGATTGCCTTGGCAAGTGAATAACAACCAGCTAATAACCAGTAAAAGTGATGCCTTTGATTGTCTCAAGCTCCTTCGTTTACTCTAATATCTCGTCTCTCCAAATCATGGTTCAATTACCAGCAAAGCTCCAGGTTATCTGATCTATATCAGGCCATGAAAGTGAAGTATATAACTTGGCACTGTCTGCTGGTAGTTTCCTCTTCAAACCATCTAACAAAGTTATTGGCATCTTCTCCATCTACTGCCCAATGTAAAATTTTATGCTGACTAAAACTGAATGTTTATGTTCCTTGCAGGTATCAGGGCCTCTTCAAAGTTGCCACTACCACTATTCCTCCATCAATGCTGTACCACAGATTATTCTCTCAGATTTGTGACAAAATCTAATGTGTTTCATTCATGGCCACTAGCCTGCTCACTTAAGGCAGTCATAAAGACAGAGATGTTAACGCTTTGCTTTCCTTTTCCCTCCATCTGAGGCACTCCTCTCTTTTTCTAAAGTGAAATCTTAGTTATTTGAGCTTTCTCCCCTAAGTATGCTCATCAACAATGAAAGCCTGAGTTATCTGAAGATACCAAGAAAATACTTCATAATCCAATAGATGAGATTTATATGGACATGCCAAGAGACTCACAGCCTAACATAAATTTGTCCCAATTAGGAGTGTCACATTTGATGTTAGTTGTGACATCTGATCATGCTAGCTAGCTCAGTTATGTTTTAATTTTGCAGTCAAGACAAATTAAACTTTAATATGTGCTAAAATCTGAGTTAAAGACTTTTTAAAAATTGACCAATTTATCACCTACTGAAACAGAACGTGCTTTGTCTTCACGAGTACCTCAGACTAGACTGAGCTAATTATAGAATCATAGTATCATTGAGGCTGGAAAAGACCTTTCAGATCATCAAATCCAACCATAAACCTAACACTGTCAAGTCCACCACTAAACCATGTCCGTAAGACACCACATCTACACATCTTTTAAATACCTTCAGGGACGGTGACTCAACCACTTCCCTGGGCAGCCTGTTCCAACACTTGACAACCCTTTTGGTGAAGAAATTTTTTCCTAATATCCAATCTCAACCTCCCCTGGTGCAACTTGAGGCCATTTCCTCTTGTCCTGTCACTTGTTACTTGAGAGGAGACTGACACCCACCTTGCTACAACCTCCTTTCAGGTAGTTGTAGATAGTGATAAGGTCTCCCCTCAGCCTCCTTTTCTCCAGGCTAAACAACTTTGGTTCCCTCAGCTGCTCCTCATAAGACTTGTTCTCTAGACCCTTTGCCAGCTTCACTGCTCTTCTTTGGACACACTTTTGCACCTCAATGTCTTTCTTGTAGTGAGTGGCCCAAAACTGAACACAGTATTCCAGATGCAGCCTCATGAGTGCTGAGTACAGGGGGACAATCACTTCTCTAGTCCTGCTGGCCACACTATTTCTGATACAAGCCAAGATGCTGTTGGTCTTTTTGGCCACCTGGGCACACTGCCAGCTCGTATTCAGCCAGCTGTTGACTAACACCCCCAGGTCCTTTTCCACTGGGCAGCTTTCCAGCCACTGTTCTCCAAGCCTGTAGCGTTGCATGGGGTTGTTGTGATCCAAGTGCAGGAATTAAAGTCCCATCTCTGAATTCTAATCTAGACAGACAATACCCAAGTGTATTTGATCTTGCTGCATCAAGAAAAATTCATTAGCCATTTAGCAACTCTTCAAAGATGTATGCTGAATGTAGCAGAGGGAGAAAAAAATACCTTCACGTTGCCCTGCAGACAATGTTCCAAATTCCTGCCAGAAGGATCATCTGTGAACAGAGAAAAACCTGTGTGGGATGGCTTCCTCATTCCTGTCTCCTGGTTCAGTCGATGGATGAATTCATCAACTGTTGAGGAACCATCAAAACCTACAACCTGCAATGCAAGAGGAGCTAATTCAAGAAACATGACATTGAGGGGTATCACAACTAACAAAGCCTGTTTTCCTACAGATTGATGTCTCATGATTGTCTGCCAGCTCCAGTGACTGCCCTTGCATACTGTCTCCCTTCACATTGCATTCTTTCTCGTACTGAGACACACATGACATCTCTCCCTTTTCCTCAGTAGAGCTGGAGCTGGATTCCTTTAATTTTCTCAGGAAAAATGGCAAGGAGGAGAAATAGTGTCTATCTCCCAATATCTGATATGTATAAACAACATGGTGCCACCCATTCACATGAAGGAGGCAGGTTATGATGCAGTCCTCTAGTGTCCAGAAGAAAGGCAGCTGTGGTGGCTCACCTGGTAGGTTCCGTTCATGAAGTGCACTGGGATGCTGAAGGGGAGTGAGTGGTGGTAGGGATTTCTCAGCAGGATGGACACAATCTCCATCCGGGAGGGCTTGGCTTCCCGCTCACCAGTCTGCACAGTGCGGTCTACTGATCTCTGGCAGTAGATGGCATACTTGCCTATTTCACTCCTAGGCAAAGAGGTGGAAATAAGCCACAAACATGCTTTAAATGCCATGTCCTCTTCCATTTCCCATGCCATGACACAGGCATTCCTCCTGCAGGCTTTTGCTCAAGCAAAGATACATCTCTGCAGAGATCTTAGTTCACTGCAACAGACTAACAGCTCAAGTGAAAAGCTACAATGCAAACTTGAGCTCCAAGGATCTGTAAAATAAGGTAGATGAGACTCTGGGAAGCTCAAGAGCATTCCCTCCTCCTAGATTGACTGAACATAGGTACAGGAATATCCTCTTCTGTATCCTGTTGCCATCATAGTATCCATTAAACAGACCAGTTCACTCTCAAACTTGCTGTCATGCCAGTGGAATTTAGTTAACTATCATGTCAAGTCCTGATAAGTATTAATAATAAATTGTAATGCATTAGTCTCACTTACAGGCTTACATAAATTGTGTTTATCAATTTACATGGTTACACAAATTATGTGTCCATGTATAACTCTATCTCCCAATCAAGAGACTCGACAGAGATTCAAAGCAGGCTCAGATTTGTTGATAGTTCAATACAGTATAGGGACAGTTAATAATATGATCAGTTTACTGTCTACTGAAGAGAGTGCTCCACTGAACACCACTAAAAGGACTTAAGTTTCTCTAAAACCAGGCAGGAACAGTCAATGTCACCTTTTGCAAAAATCTTAAGAATGTATATACTGAATAAGTTCTGAAATTGAAGGATTTATAACCATACTATCACTTTGCAGGGGAAACTAATTCCATTCAAGATACCTTCAGGAGCTCCATACATGATTAAATCTCCAGTTAAATCCCTGCAAGCAACACGGAAATCAGCAGCTCTGACTTTTCACTGTAGCAAGATATTGCTCACCTCCCCAGTAATGCATTTGAACAATTTTCAAATGAGGAATCTTGCTTCAACGAGAAGCTGTTGTGTCTGGCTCCCAAATGCTCCTGAACCCTGTCCCTTCTAACCTAGAACTGTGGCCCACTTTTCTTCCTCTCTTAGAGACTAGATATCTACTCAAAGGTCACCTTTCATGGAAGACAATACCTAGAATGAAGATCTAGTGTAAATCTAGACTATAGGCATTATGCAGTGTTAACATTCTAGTATCGTTTGCTGTGTGAAACAGGGAAAGCATATCTATTGAACTGGTCAAGAAGCGGCCGTACCTGCTCCATCTAAAGACAGAAGTATTCCTAAAGACAGGCAGAAGGAGCTAAGTCCCATTTAGCAACTGCTCTAAATCTAATCTAATTTATAGCTGGATTGTATAAATACATTTTCTCTTTGCTTCTGCTTAAGGTTTATTTGTTGATAACGGTACTTTTGGGCTAAGAGCCTGGCAGACCATCAGCATAGTAATGCTTGAAACTGATGCATTAAATCAGTTTCACAGAGGCCAGCATATCCTTATGAAATGCAATAGTCCCTAACAGTAGAGCAGCTCCACTATTGTGTTGAATGGGACAGCAATTGCAATGCACAAGTTTGAAGAGATGATTTCTAGTACTAAACATGTTGCCTTAGCCAATGGAGAGAGATCCTGAACACTGAGGAGTGCCTTGCCTGATAACTGTATATTTGCTTCTGAGAAGAAATAGCAAATTTGAGGCAGCATATAAGAAAATAATAATAATAAAAAAAAAAGATAGGAAGAGTATACAGATTTCCTTTGCAATACCAGGAGGCTTTTAGCTTGACTTCCAAGGCAGACATAGGTTTGAAATGAAACCACTGTTTTATCTATGTCTTGGCAATAGTATATTGTTGCAACAGACAACTAGACATCTCTAGCTGTGACCTCCCTCCCAAGGACACGGTGAGATATGCTGAAGACCAGATCACCATGGAAACAAACAAAGAGCACAGTGTGAACACTGGAGAGCAATGTATTGCAGTTACAGTAGGTCTTGCTCCGGTTTCTGATAAGGGAAAATGTTACACACCAAAGAGGTAACAGAAAACACATACATTTCAGGTTTGTTAGTTTTTCCTAACTTTTTCTGGTTCCCTGAGATGTTCTCTGCCTCCCTTTTGTTCCATCAGTATGCCTGTTAACCTGGCAGCAGAATGGAATACACATAAAATTCTAAGAATTTATTCTAAATAATTACTTTGGTCTGTCTTTCTATCAATAAAAGAAAGTAGCTGCATCAGCAAAAAACTTGCTATGTAGCTCTATTTATATCTGCAAAAAGTTCTTTTGCTAGTATAGGTCACTCAGTTTTGTGAACTAGCTTAATATAAGTGACAAATTAATGTGAATGTCTGAAGGGGGACAGCTTGATACCATTGGGAACCTGCTGTCCCTTCCCTCAACTTATTTTTGCAGGTGTGAGTTATAAAATTGCTTCCATCTTTATCCATGGCAGATGCAAAAGGCAATCATCTTAGCAGAAGAAAATGCTGTTGCAGTCTTTACCTGGGGTCTGCATGTCGCTGCAAGTGCTGTTTGATGTACCAGAGAAAGTGATGCTGAGGCAGGAATAGAGGAGCACACAAAGCCAGGAGTTGCCAGCACTGTAAACATAAAACTGGACATCATTCTTGTTCTGTATTTCTTGCCTGTTGTCTTTCATAGAATACGGCAACTAAAATGTTCGATGGTGACCAGTGCTTTTGGGAGTGACCATTTTTAGACATGTAGTTCAAGATGTTTCAAAGGGAAGTGAAAGTCAGAGGACAGACTGCTCCAATATGTCAACCTGGACTCTAAGAAGAGGTGTTCTAAATGATTGGCCACTTTTGAAAATTTTGACTAGTGAACCAGAGCTGAGTGAACGATTAAGACTTAAAATAATACTTTTTTCCTACTTGTAAATGCAAATCATAGCAAAGAATACACTGGGGAACTTTATTTCAAATTAGACCCATTATTCTTCAACCAGATTTTATTTTCGCGTTGAGCTGGGAATATTATAATTAAGTATCTATTTATGCTGCAACTTATTAATTTCATTTACCCAATAATTATAGTGCAATAATCAGATTTCATGCTTAATAGTAATATTCATGATTTGCATGCTGTTGTTAACTAAAATGGAAAACAAAATTAATACCATGTGACAATTATAGCAAGCCAACACGAGCTATGAATTTTGATTCGGAATATGGTCTGAATAGATCATGTGCAACTGGTAAATGGTTAAATTCAAACTAAAAGTTATTTTGCAAGTAGTTACATTCTCAATGTTTTTCTTTGCACATCAGTGCCGAGATTCTCTTTCCTCCAGCACACCTTTAGTGTTTGCACAATTTTGTAAGAACCAGTCCCATTGCTCGTTATTAAAAACATGGAATTAAATAGACAGTATCTTCAGAGTGGAAGTGACAAAAGAAGAACTGACCTGAATGACTGAATGGTTCTGGGGCTGTCGGCAGCTGGTCTGTTTAACAAGCTGACAGTAAATTTCATTCTGCAGCTCAGTATGTGTCAAGCAGACCTGCAGTGCTGTCTGGGCAAGCGACACGTGATAATCAATAGAGGGTGCCTCCACAGGGACATTGATGAACAGCTGACAGGACTGTAAAAGGGGGGAGGTTAGTCAATGCCATATATACAATGCCACTGTTATACAGTGACTATTCTCTGGTATTTTCCAGGCCAGGGTCCCCAGATGTGTTACAGACAATTAATGAAGTCTTCTAAATAACCCTGAGAGGAGAAGGGAGAATAAATTAATTCCTATCCCTCCCTCTTTAGTTGTGGCAACTAGAAAACTCACTCAACCTCCCCCAGCCTGAGAAGCTCATAGGTCAGCAAGAGAGTCGAGGGGAAAATATACTTCTTGCCTTCCATGCCTGTGCTTTACCTTGCTAAGACTGCCCAGTCTTACTGCTGATGTTACACTTGTGGAGTGCAAGAATCAAATCTCCAACAGCTTCACCATTGGTCTTACTGACACAACTGAGTTTGCCAGTAAATTGTTCTGTTTTCTTCAATTCAACTATTGAAGACGAAAGAGGAAGATAAGGCTAACTTCGAAGTGTAAAGCCTGTGGGGGACATTGCTCCTAAACCCAGATTCCCTACAAGAAAAAGTTAAACTTCTAGAGAATGAATGACACCTAATATCCAACTGTCCTATTGTAATTAAATGACCCAGCAGGCCTGTCTAAAGCAACCAATGGTAACAGTAAATGTTGTGACAAACAACAGGACCAAACATTGTTGCCCCAACAACAGAACAAAATAACTGAAAGCCGTGCAATGTCCCCTTAAATACCTTAAAAAGTTTCAGAGCTTCAGTCTGTAGAGCCTCCGATGGCAGAGTGGTGAGGGATGTGTGCAAACCATCTTTACTGTAGCACAACATGGGATGTTTCCACAGAGGAGAATCTGAGGTAGCAGACGGGCAAAAACATGCAGCATCAGAAACAGAAGAAAGATAACAGCGTCCACATTGAAAAGCAGCCTTCCTGAAATGGCAAAGCACCCGAGGAAGCACTGCACTAGGCTACGTTTATCTTTGGTGTCACTTCATTGATTTCAGCAAAGCCTGCCATGAACAAGGAGTCAGCAGCAGCATTAGCCATCAGCTGAAAGAAGTACTGCCATCCTCAGTCCTGCTGTATCAGAGCTTCTCATCAGCTGGATTCTGGCGAGAAACTGCTCAGCTGTGTGTTCAAAGAAGAGACACAAACTCTACCAGGGCAGCTGCCTGCAACGAGGGTCTTTGTTAGTGCAAGTCACTATTCAATGGTAAACAAGGTTCACACATAGTTCTAGGAATATGTGAGTGTGCAGGAAAAGAGTATTAAATACAAATGTGTATGTTAATACGCGTTTGAGAACAATGTGCACAAACATACATGAACGAGCAAGTATCAAAGATGAGGCAGAACAGACAAGCGTGGATGTATGTGTGAGGGTTTATACACGCAGACAGAGGAACAGATGTGAAGGCAAGTGTGTGTGAGTGTTATTTAGAGGGGAGAGCGTGCGTTTGTACAGTCAAGATTCCAGGAAGAGAAAATCAGGACCAACAATAACAGGAAAAATTTAAGCTCCAGTTCTTTATTTTAATTTGAATTAATGTTACAGACGTTTCAGATGCTTTGATAAATGATGTGACAATGTGATGGACTTGTCTAGTTTGACTACAATGCCTGCATCCTCTCCGGAGATGTTACTGTAGAAACAGGGGAGAAGGACACTATAACATACGCTGTTCTACTGAGAATCTCCCTCCCTCACCTTTGGCTGGATTAAAACTGGGAACTGAAATTATCTTTCCTTGTGCTTTGCTACCATAGAAAAGAGTTTGTGGTTTCTACTTACTAGGGTCTCCCTCTGCATCCAATAGTTTTCCAATGAGTTGTTCGTATGATGTGCCCACTGTGGCATTACTGCTACCAGCTGCTACGGTTAGATGGTATAGCCAGGTGTTCTAGGCATAAGGATGAGAACAGTATCAGTCAATTCAGACCTTGTTTTCTACAAAGAGGTTCACTATCTATGCCCTGTTTGTTCACTGATACCAAAAAAACTCTTGCTCTCCAAAAAGATTGCCTTTTATACCTTCTCCTGTTTGGTGTGAATTAGTAAGTATGTGGGACTCTGGTCCTGTGGGTGAATCACCAGTGTACAGTGAGATGACAGAAGTCCTCCACCAGTGGCTTCATAATCTTCATCAGAGTCACAGGAACGGTCTACTTCTTCCACTTTGGACTCACGCATAGGCAGATGACCTAGGGGACACTATAAGAGGGGAAGCAAGATAGATAAGTGTACCTAATCTCCCACTATGGACAGGTAACACTAGGTAGGAAAACCCAGATCAAAACGTTAGCAGTTCTGTTTAATGTAAGGAATAAACTATAATTCAGTGTTTAACTAATATAATTATATAAATCTTGCATTTCTATAGACTCTCTTCTCTTTCATCAACTAAAGAACTCACAAACTGTGTTACTGCTTTTATTATTTTTCTTGGGAGAGCACCTACAGGTCAGAATGAGAATATGTAAATAAAAAGACGGTCTTTCCCATAGGTACTGTTTTCTTCCCATTACACTTGTCAGTGGTGTTTACATCATTGGTTTTGCAAGGCAGGATGCGTTTTCTCATGGTCAGTTGCTCAGTATCTTGAGCCACCGTTTTCCAATCCTAGTCAGACTTTCTGCTTGCTACTGGAAAATAAGTACTTTTAAAATTACATAAATAGGTAGATAGAAATAGAGGATATCTGCTGTGCTAACTCTGAAAGTCGACCCCAAGTATGAGTCACAGTATTCATCGATATTCTAAAACTTAGGTTTCCACATCATCAAGACAAAGTAATAGACCATTGGGGCAAGCCTCCCAAAATGGAAGCACGTTACACTAACTAAATGACCTCCCTCTTCCCATATTGTTGTTGCTACTTATTTTCATGACAGTATGCAGAACATACCATCTGCTGTATAGAAGTCTGCTCTAAAGGTTTCCTAAGATCAAATGGAGAAAGCCAGAAACAAGATATACAGTGATCTGAGAAAGAGCAGTCACTCGCCTTTTAAGTCTTTTGTCATTTTAGCTTTAAAAACAAACAAAAAAATCACATAAAATATTGATTCTCTTTGTGGATCAGATGCTGTTAGAAGGGAAGAAGCACAACCAAGGAAGAGCTTGAAGTATGAGAGACAGAAGCAGTAAAAGGAGAGTAAGCATCATGAGAAATGGGAAAGGAGGGTTCAGGAACAAAAGGGGAAGAGAAATTACCTTATCTTCATGATTTCGATAGTAGTAGAAAGTTTTTCCAATCAGTGCACACCAGACCAGCTTGGAGTGACCATGCTTAACCTGTAAGGAGGACAAAGAAATATATGTTTTTAACATCAGTAGTGTTGCTAGAACAACTTTCTAGGATTTCAACTTTCAACTCTCCCTTAAAACCTTGCATGTATTATTAGTTCTATGCTAATATGAGCTCCTCTCAAAACATACAGCGTGCCACTTCCAAAAGAAGGTAAGTGCATCCCACCTAAGTAGATGGGACACAGGTACTTATGGAAATGGGTCTAAGATTTTGTGAAGTATTTTACTCATTCATAACAACCCGTCATTTTTGCATCCTGAAATACAATATTAAGATTAACCTTTTTAAGATTATAAAAACAAATAATTTCATCTC